TATATATACACATGTATTCAGGAATATATGGTTCTCTCCTATGAGATAATCTCAAATACTGTAGGATTAAAAAATTAAAAGAATATAATGTTATCATAGAAATGAAGAATGTAAAGTCACGTCTAAACAAAGAAGGGAGACATTGTCATTTTATTTTCCATAACGCAATTATCCTTGAATATCTTAATATTTTTGGGAGGAAAGTTAAAAGTCTGAAGGTAGGGTCAAGACATTAAGACCTGAGGTGTAAATTAGCGTAGGATTTCCCACAGGTAAAGCTGCAGATATTATGTATATCAGTTGTCACCTGATATGTGACATCCACTTTAAAGCATTTAAAATAATTTAAAGAATTTTAAAGATTTAATTTCTTTATTATGCATATACCATTCTGTCTCCATGTATGCCTGCAAGCCAGAAGAGGGCACCAGATCTCACTATAGATGGCTGCGAGCCACCATGTGGTTGCCGGGAATTGAACTCAGGACCTTTGGAAGAGCAGGCAGTGCTCTTAACCACTGAGCCATCTCTCCAGCCCTGAATGTTTTGATATATAAAAATGACAAGCCATTGAGTTTAGCATCTTCAAAGTAGCTCTGACCTCATTCCCCAGAGTTTAGTTCAGAGAGCTGGAAAGGTTCTCAGCAGGAGTAGCTCTATCATGCCTGTGCCCAGGAACATGAGACATTTAGGTGAGCTCCAGGTCATCTTGCTTACTATTCTTGCTTTACTGATCTTCTGTGGCTTCCTCTTTTTTGGTTTGTTTGTTTGTTTGTTTGTTTCTTGAAACAAGGTTCATCATGTGACTTGAGATTAACTAAAAGTAATTGTGTAGCCAAAATTGGCCTTGGTCTCAGTAATCCTCCCTCCTCTGCCTTTTATGTAGTAGAATTACAGATGTGAGCTACCACACCCAGACTTTTTCTTGAACTAAAATCTAATAATAATTTCTCATCTTAATGGTTATCATCTATGTAACAGATTCAACTGAGAGTTTTTATTCAAACTGATAATCTCTTCATATTTTGTTGTTTTCCAACTGAACTTTTAATTAGTTTAATGATTGCCATAACATAGTAATGCTATTTCTTACTTTTCTTTCTTCAAATAGAATCCTGCCTTCTCTGTATTTTCCCTACAATCTTTCCCTAGTGTTATTCCTGAAGCTTTTAAAGGATCCATATTAGCATTGAAAATTTAACCAATCAGCTCAAATTGTTTCATAGACTAGTCATTCCTGGGGTCTTTGGACCCAGCATCTACTCTAGTAAAATCCTTTTCAAGATGCTAGATTCTATATTCAACCATGGCATCCTTACTGCTGAACCCCAAAGAAAACTAAAGTCACTGGTGAGGTCTCAGTAAGTCAGTAAATGCAATATCCTAAAGCAAAATGTAGTGTTCAGGTGTTTGAATGACATGCTAGAAGTCATATATAGATATATTCATTATTCAGCATATTTACTGGAAAATCTTAATGTTATTTGTTAACAGATAGCATTATGAAGAATGAGAGTCAGGAGGATGATGATCATAATGAATAAAAAGATACTTAAGAATGCATAGAGTGAAGGTTTCTCAACTATCTTTTATCTAAGTCTGTGGGAAATAGATTTTCCATATTCTAGGCTAGAATGAGACAAACGATAGCCACAGACAGTTTTGGTCTATAGTTTCTGTGGCTGTAATTATTCTCTCTCATTTATATGTGGTTTTTGTCTGACTTGGGGACAATAGTGGCAGAGTTAAATCACTGCACTACAATGTACATAAAACATAAGGCTTGATATATCTGTTGGAAAAGCTTGTCATGTGCTACACAATGGGTTAAACCACAAAGAATTAGATTATCTAAACAACTATAATATGTTAAATATTACAAAACTTCAGTCTTTATAATGTATTCTTATTACTGACATTTTTATAAAAACAATTATAAAGAAAAGGCAATTCATTACTACAGTTTACAGATTTATACTTTTAAATTTTTGTGTACACAGAGGGGAGAGTTGGCTCAGTGATTAAGGCACTTATTATTGCAGAGGACCCAAGGTCGATTCTCGACACCCACATAGTAGTTGACAAATGCCTAAAACCCCATTATCTGGGGTTCCAATGCCTTCTACTGTCCTCCGAGGCATTAGACATGTACATGGTCCATATATGTACACACAGGAGAAATATTCATACATATAAAACATGCATGTATTTTATTCATAAATGTATTCATACCTATAAAACAACAAAATAAATAAATCTAGAAATAAATAAGTTTATTTGTGTGCCTGTCTGTGTGAATGTATGCAGTGTGTGTCCAAGTGTCTACAAGTGCCAAAAGATGCTGGAAGCCTGGATGGTTAGTGACAGGCAGCTAGGAGCTGATCAACATAGGTGCTGGAAATGGAACTCAGTTGCTCTGGAAGAGCAGCATCCATTTTCAACCAGACTCAGCTGGATAACAGAAGAGTTCTCCACTTAGTGGCTTTAGCAGTTTTGAATGATTATCTCTAGAACCCAAACTTGGTGTGAATGCTTCAGTTCTCTCTGCTGGGATGGGTCCTTCTGCCACGCTCACCTTGAAGCCTGTGCTTTCCAGTGTGCTAATGAAGATACATATCTCACTCATTTCTAACATGAGTTGTTTTATTGTCCAGATTAGTTATAACATTTAGATTTAAGGAAAGACTATTTAATGTCTCACAAGTATCACTTTATCAAACACTCTCCTTTCTAGATGGGGAAATTGTTGATATTTGGAGAGATCATATTTGAATCATCATTCAAGCTGCAGATAATGACTTTGATCTTTGTACAAATGCTCTACTTTCAATATTGAAATTTTGATTAGTTATTTCTTGATATTTACAATCTCAAACACTATATATCTGGCTTTATGTTTGCCACCAAAATCTGGTCGGCATCAGTCATCAGTATCTTACAATTCTACGTTAGCATGCATCTCTCTAGAGCCTGAACATATTTGACATTGTGACAATTTAATTTTAATGCTCATATAAATCTTAAGTTGGAAGCAATGCTATTATCATAAGTTGAATATCCAAGTCATTATCATAAACAGCTTTTGACACTACCATTAAATTGCCAATACTGTTAGTATGCAGAGAGCCATTGTGATCTGAGGGCAACTCACACACTTATTTTGACTATCAGAAGGACAGGGCAAGGAAATGTCTTGATGCTGAAATAGATATTTCAAAGGGAGACCAGAAGAAGACTTATCTTTGCTGTAAGATGCTTCGTTTCCTGGTCATTGGATATGTCCTCCCTTTTCCCACCCACCCATTTGGGGGACACTGAAACTACAACATTATTGCGCAAATGATTTTGAACTCACGGATCATTAGACTTTGGAATAAGAGTGCCAAGCTCCTTGATTCGGTAATTAATATTATACCTTCTTCTTCTTTCAACTATTAAGAAAGAAATATTATTGATTATTCTCATTAAAACACAGTTCACTGTTGGTCAGCTGTAAATTTAATAATCTTTAAAAAATAGTAAAGAAGATATTCCCAGTTAGTCAAAGGACAGTTTTTAATAATAAGATAAAAATTCAAATATGTCTTATACCAGCAGGAAAATTTATAATAATAGAATTGTGAATGTATACTTCATAACATGATAAAATATTTTGCCCCAAAATGCTTTTATTTTTTTGAATCCACTCACATTACTATATACATTTATGCATATTTATGCATATATATGCATATGCTTATCCTGTTTGGTTGATACCTCACTCATACACATACTGGCAGAGTATTAGTGTAATCTTTCAAGGTCATTCACCATGTTTTACCCTTCTCATATACTCTCCTCAATGTTTAGCACATTGCAAATATATGTGATAAGCTAACAATAACTGCATCTCTTGGGATGGAGAGTTGGCTTAGTGGTTAAAAGCACTTGTTATTGCTAAGAACCCAGGTTTGATTCCCGGTACCCTCATGGAAGTTCACTATCTCCTTGGGTATCAGGCATATATGTGGTGCAACACACTCATACACACAAAATAATAAGAAAATAAATCTAAATAATTAAATAAAAATAAAACTTAAAAAAAAAGCCAAATGGTGAAGGCATACTCCTTTAATCCCAGCACTCAGGAGGCAGAGGCAGGCATATCTCTATGAGTTCAAGGACAGGCTGGTCTACAGAGTTCCAAGACAGGCAAGACTACACAGAAAAACCCTGTTCTGAAAAACTAAACAAGAAAAAAAAAAGGAAAATTAAAAAATAATTTTATCTCCAGAGAGCTTGGCCTACATAGGTGTTAACTAAATATATGTGAATTAGACTACTAGTTGCTTTTCTCTTAATTAGCAGTTATTTAGTATGTGTGTGTGTGTGTGTGTGTGTGTATGTAGACATACATACAATAGCATATGTAGAGGTCAGAGGACATCTTGTAGTGATAGGAACTCTCATTGTACTGTATGGATCATGGGGAGCAAACTCAGGCTGTCAGACTTGGCAGCAGTGCCTTCGCCCACCTTACTGGTACTATTTCCTTAATTATAAGGTTTTTCAAACTCTTGATTGAATCAGACAAATCTGGTAGGATTGTTTTTACCTCTTCAAAGAATTCTGATTTATGTAGAATCAGTATATGCACTCCCAAAATGTCATTAGGTGAGGCTGTTATTACATGTGCAATGTTAGCCATTCAAGAACTGTAGATAGAAGCCCTTCAAAATTTCTTGCTGCTTATTTTTCTATAATGATGTGGGAGTGTCATATATCAATCTGTTGATTTCATTGGTTAAGTTATAATAAACCAGCTGCTTGGCCTCATGGCTGGAACATAGATGGGAGGAGTAAACAGAATAGAATTCTGGGCGGAAGAGGAAGTGAGGTCAGACTCTGCTCTGCTCCCAGAGAGACCCGACAGCTCTGCTGGAGCAGAGACGCCATGCTCAGCTCTCCCAGGCAGCTGCAACCCACGATGGACTTAGGCTAGAATCTTTCCGGTAAGCGCACCTTGGGGTGCTTACAAACATCATTAGAAATGGGCTAGACCAGGTGCGAGAATTAGCCTGTAAGGGCTAGAGTTCATGGGTCAAGCAGTTCTTTAAATGAATACAGTTTGTGTGTTGTTATTTCGGGCATAAGCTAGCCAAGCGGCCGGGGTGTTGGGGACGCAGCCCCGCCGC